GTGTGTGTGTGTGTTGGAGTGTGTGTGTTTCCCCCATAGTCCTGGCTCGATTCTGATGCCCAGCTGGCTCTGGGAAGCACACTGTTCTAGACCCAGCTCTTGGTTAGCACTGTGCTTTGTCGCACTTCTAGACAAGAGGATTGCATTCATGTTCCTGAGTTTAGGAGGAAACTTTAGAGCCTCGTTCCCAGGGGGCTCAGACATATTGGGCTGTTTCCAATCAGAGACAAAGATCTGTTTTACTTCCTTCCTTGCTGAGGGAGCAATGTTTCCTTTCCACCACTTTCATTGTTGGCATTTGGAAAGGAGGAGGCTACGATGAATAGGATGATCTGGGGTCCAGTTGACGCAGCCACTTCTTTGTATGTTGGTTTCACATAACTTTATGTGGGACTCTTGTCCTGTTTTTCACGGTTACAACATTTATCAGGGTTTACCTGGTATGCATGCGTTCAACAAAGGTCTCAGTGCCCACTGGGAGACAGAATGGTGAGCGAAATCGACGTGGTCCCTGCCATCTTGAGCCAGAAATCACAATCCCAGTACGTCCATTGAAGGAAAGGTGTAAAGCGCTGTGTGATCTTAAGCAAGTCCGCAGGATGAGGGAAGGCTTTTCTTGAGGAGGAGAGAATTGAACTGAGACTTAGAGGATAGTAGATGTTACTTGGATGGGGTAGTGGGGAAAGAAAGCATGACTCAGCAGAGAAGGGAAGCCGTGCAAAGGCCCTGTGGCGAATGCAAAAGAAGCATACATAGACTTCCCCAGTCTTTGCTTAAAGGCAAAATCTAGCAGATTCACACACACATTTTTAATCACATGCGTACTTGTGGAAAATTAGTAAATGCACCACTGATTGTATTATGGGAGGACAATCGGGTTTATTGGTAGAATCCTCACCTCCCACGTAGGAGACGAGGGTTCAATTTCAAGTTAATGCACCTCAAACCACGGCTACCTATCTGTCAGGGAATGGCTTGCATTTTGTTAGAATGCTTCAGTGGAACTTCTAAACTAAGATTAGAAAGAAAGGCCTGGAATTTGGCTTTTAAAAAAAAAAAGAGCCAATGAAACCTCTACAGATCACGGTGGTCCAGTCTGCAACCAGTCATGGGGAGTTCTCAGCACTGGGCACTGTTTCATGTTGCAATCCATTGTGTGTGAAGTTGCTACAAATCATGGCAGCTGACAACAGCCCTCTAGATAATAGAGTCCTTGTTCTCTAAACCCAATGAGATAATAAGGCTAAGTCAAAGTCATTGCCTTCAAGTCACAACTGACTCTTAGTTAACCCTCCATTGGGTTTCTGAAGCTATAAATCACATGGGATGGGATTGCTCATCTTTCTCCTGTGGAGCTGCTGGTGGATTCGAACCACCAGAGAGGCATGGCCTCTGGGTTAGTAGAAAAACTTGCTGCAGACTATGCCACCAGAGCCCCCTGTGAGGACAAAGCATTGGGATATATTAAGTGCTCAATTAAGCTCCTCCCATTCTTTCTTCTCCACTCCACAGAGGATATAGGTCTCTTACTGCTGCAGAGCTCTTGGTACTGTTTTACTCCTTTCATCTGGCCACTAATGTCTCCCTTCACTTTTCCTACCTTCTCGCCAATAGTATTTGAAACCCCCCAACAGTGAAGTTTTATGCATCCTGGGGGCTGGAGTCCAGGCCTCCAGCCACTATGAGATCTTCAAAGAGCAGTTCTCCTTTAAGGAGGTGAGTCCAAGGGTGTATGGGGGGCAGGGAGGAGGGAGTGGATCAATGGTCTTTTCATCCTTCAAACACAACATGGTCCTAAATTATTATGTTGAGAGTTGGATCCAAACCAGGAGGAGAAGGGTTGGAGGGAAGGCTTGTTTCTGGTTTCATAGTCCACAGGACATGTTCAAGGATACAGCCAGTCTATTGATTAAAGAATGCACAATTGGATGGGGGAAGTGGGTGGGTGAAGGAAATGGGAAAGATCTGGTGTGAAAATCAATGTATTTGAACTTTGTAAATAAAACCATTATAAAATAATAATAATAATAAAGAATGATACTGTATCTACCACATACACCCTTTGAACTTTATAAATAAAACCAATAAATAATAATAATAATAAAGGATGATATTGTATCTAGCACATACACCCCTTTCTGGTATTCTCTTCAGAGAATCTATGAGTCTGTAGATACTCAAGATTATGAATTCAGCCCCTGGGTGGTACAAATGTTTTGTGCTCCATGGTTTCACCCCAACCTGGCAATCTGCTTCCACAAAGATAATTCATGGATTATTTCAGTACATATGAAATCACGCCTCCAATAAGTCCCTTGAAGGAAAGCTGTAAAGCGCTATGTGGTCTTAAGTGAGTCTGTAGGATTGGGGAAGGCTTTTCTTGAGGAAGGGAGATTTGAACTGAGCCTTCAAGGACAGTGGATGTTACTTGTGAGGGGTAGTGAGGCAAGCATGACTAGGCAGAGAAAGGAACCTATGCAAAGGCCCTGTGGCAGATGTAAACGAAATAGTAGACTTCTGCATTCTTTAGTTCCACTTTCTTTGTAGGCCAAGGGTTATTGGCCAAGGGATATTGGCCTCCCTTTCCCCAGTCATGCACCAAACTTTCTTCTGGAAGTGTTTCATGTTCCATTTATTTTTTTTCATAGAAGAGGAATGGGAAGCACTTAAAATATTTTAATGATAAAAATAATATATCTCTCTGATGAAAAATGCACTATACTGAGCCCAGCTAATGTAGTGTAGTATGTGTCAGATTGTGAACCGAAAGTTCAGTGGTTTGAACCCACCAGGAGAAAGATGACCTGGCTCCTGTGAAGATTTTCAGCCTTAGAAACCCAGTGTGTGTGTGGGGGTGTCACCATGAGTCACGACTAACTTGGCAGCAGAGGGCGTGGTATTTTACTTTTTTGTTTGTTTTGGGATTTATTTATTTTTTTTAGGAAAATGACATTTTACAAAAATCTACTTTTTTCTGATTTTAAAGATAAGCAGTTGATATTTTCTGACCTTAGCTATTTTAGTCATTAGGTTTTAAAATATCATTTTAACCGTATTAGATATACATATTAGATATGTATCCGAGCATTTCATTGAATGTTTTGTCAACATTAATTTTCCAGATTGTTTCATTTTTGCATAATATTTTTATAACTTTCTATCAAGGAGGGTACCATGTTAATCATTCCCTTAGGGCTGAGCGTGTGATATTATTCAGACTTGGGTTGGCGAACTTAGTTTTGTGTTTATTACCTTTCTTCATTGTTGTTTTTATGTGTCATCAAGCCCAAATTGACTGATAGCCGGCCCTCCAGTGAGTTTTCAGAAGCTGTAAATTACACAGAAAGAGAGTACCCATCTTTCTCCTGAGGAGCAGCTGGTGGATTTGAACTACTTGCCTTTGGTTCAGCAGTGTAACTCCTTACCCACTAGACCACCAGAGCTCACATCTCTTTCATCCCCATTTTTAACTGTTGAAAGGCTGATAAACCCCGCCCCACCCCCAGACAAGAAGCAATCTAAGAATGCCCACAGCTTCTGGTCAATTAATGACAATAGTGCCCATCCCCTTGGACCTTCAGGATTCCAGGGGGAGCTCCCTCTCTTGGTCTTTTTATCTGCTGCACTATTCATGCACAAACATTTTTGATCTCTTACTTCCTACGTATATCTCAGAAATCCACTTCATCCAAAAATAACATTATTCCATGCATAATTCTGCCCTAAAGAATCCTATTGATGAGTCTTGTACCTGCTGTGACTACTTTACTTAAAAACTCATTGCTTTTGAGTCAGAGCTAACTCATAGCTGATTTTCTATCTGAGTCTGAGGTTGTAAGTCACATGGGACAATGTTGCCCGTCTCCTTCCCGAGGAGCCTCTCGTGGGTTCAAACAGAGAAGCTGCTATACCATGTGTTAGCACCACAACTCCCAGCGGGCTACGCCACCAGAGTTCCCTATGACTCCTTTACTCAGATGGAAAGCATGAATTTGATACTGACTTTGCCCAGTTGTCATCAGTATTCTACAGAAGTACAAACTGAGGCTGAGTGAGGTTATGTAATTTCAGGGGCAGAAAGTGGCAGTGCAAGAATTTGTTCCAAGCCTGCCTCGTTCCAGAACTTACCTCGCTAATCATTAAGCTGTCTACTAAACTGCCAGGCTGTGTGTCTAGAAATGAAACATTTCCAACCTCCTCTTACAGGGAAGGTGGTAGCAAAAGTGTCACTTTAAAGTACCCAGATGGAAACCTTGGTAGCAAAATGGTTAAAGCACTCATCTGCTAACTGAGAGTCAGTGGTTTGAACCCACCAGCTGCTCTGTGGGAGAAGGATGTGACAATGTGCTTTCAGAAAGGTTATAACTTGGAAACTCTGTGGTTGCTAGGTGCCATCAGGTTGAATACAGTTTGTAACAAACCCACAAGTCACAGACGTGAACCTTGCCCCGTCCCTTTCATCCTCACCTTTGATAGGCACAAGCCTATTTTTACAGTCACTGTGTCAATCCATCTTACTGAGGGTCTTTCTGGAAATAGTTTTACTTGTGCCGCTCCGTAGAGGCAAAGATGACAAAGCTTCATCTCACATACTTTGGGCATGTTGTTCAGAGAGACTATTCCTTGGAGAGGGACATCATGCTTGGAAAAATGAAGGGTCAGTGAAAGTGGGCAAGACCTTCAACCAGATGGATTGATGTGACGACTGCAGCAATAGTCACAAGTATATCAGATATTACAAGGATGGCCAAGTACGTCAGATATTACACGGATGGCGCAGGACAGGACCGGGTTCAGAGCTATTGTTCACAGCGTTGCTATGAACTCGACAGCACATAACAACATTTTGGTTGTTGAGTCAGTATCGACAACAGGTGTTATTTGGGTTTAGCCAGGCACCTGCCCAGATTAATGTTATTAAATGTCCCTTCTCCATAAGGGAATGATTTGGATAACCACAGATACCGTTCCAGAGGGGTTCAGCTTTCACTTGGCAACCCTGGTGTTGCTGTAGCATAAATAGCCGGAGCAGATGGCCTCAGCATCCCTCTTGTTCCCCCAATAAAGGTGAGGATATGGAACCGTACAAAGGAAAATGCAGAGAAGTTTGCAAACACTGTGCAAGGTGCAGTCCGGGTCTGTTCATCCGTCCAGGAGGCTGTCACAGGAGCAGATGTGATCATCACGGTCACCCTGGCAACAGAGCCCATTTTATTTGGTCAGTGGGTGAAGCAGGGGGCTCATATCAATGGTAAGTAGACTGGCTTCCTGAGCCAGGGGCAAGGTGTGGGCAGACTTTCTCAGCTGGGATTAAGGGCTGCATGAGCTGTTAGATTCATGGCCAAGAATAGCCAGGCTTTTCAAGGGCGCATGGAAACATGAAAGGCAGTGCAGTTGTTAAGCACTCAGCTGCTAAGGTTGGTAGTTCAAACCCACCAGCCACTGCACGGGACAAAAGTCCTAATTCCCATAGAGTCCTCTATTCCCATAGAGACAGCCTGTCACACAGAGTCACTTTTAGTCTCCATAGCACACAACAACAATATGGGCTTGTATACAGCCTCAAATAGAAGGAGAATTGATGCCTTTGAGCTGTAGTGTTGGAGAAGAGTATTGAATATACCATGGACTGCTAAGAAAACAAACAGGTTCGTCCTGGAAAGGGTGAACCTTGTTGCTCCTTGGAGTCAAGGATTCTGAAGCTTCGTCTGACATACTTTGGACATGTTGCAAGGAGAGACCCGTCCTTGGAGAAGGATGTCATGCTTGAGAGGATAGAGGGATAGCACAGAAGAGGAAGACCCTCGATGAGATGGATTGATTCAGTTCCTGGGGTCATGGGGGGGGGTGTGAAAGACAATAAGATTGGCAAGGGATAGAGCAGGGTTTAGGGCTGTTATACATAGGGTCACTATGAGTCGCAGGCAACTCAACGGCACATAACAACAACAACAGCTGCAAAAACAATACTGGCTTCAAAATGTGGGGGGAAAAGCCTTTAAAAACCTGAATTTAATGTTTAGTTAAGGATTTACCAAAAGAAAAATTATGATAAACCTCTCTCCCATTGCTGTTAAGTCAGATCCTAACGGACACTCCACTGCGCTTCCACAAAGCTATAAACCTCACGGGAGAACTGACCATCTTTTTCTCATGGAGCTGCTGGTGGGTTTGAACTGCCGGAAGAGCATGGCCTTTGGATTAGCAGCGCAACTCCCCATGTACTAAGCCATCAGAGCGTCCTCTTATACTAAATAGTCAACTACAATTCAATTCTTAAATATGACAAAAGTGCCAAGAAGCTGCGCTGCAGTCCCGAAGGCATGCGGTTCGAGGCTACCGGTTGCTCTGTGGGAGAAAGATAGGCAGTCTCCTCCCATGCAAATAACTGCCACTGAAAACCCACTGGAGAGTCATCTGTACAGTACACAACACCAACAAGGGAAATAAAGAAATTTGTTCTTAACAAAAATTAGAACTAGAAAACTTTTCTTAAAATTATAGTAAAAAGACATATAATATGACATTTGGATACTCTTTACTAAAAGATAGGATAAGAGAGGGGAGAATCCTCAAAGTAAGAGTATCTTGGACCTCAAAAGATCTTCACTTAGTAAGGATAGTCTATATCCAATATTTCTTATCGCCAAGTGCTTTTATAAACTCTTAGTATCTCTTATCTAATCCACACAACCACCCATTTCTGTAGGAGTTAGCATTATCACAACCCTTATTTCATATGTGAGGAAACTGAGGCAGCAGTTAGTGTCAAGTTGATTGCAGCTCCTGGTAGCCCTATGTGGTCGGAGCAGAGCTCTGCTCTGTAAGGTTCTCACGGGTTAGTATTTTAAAACTAGATCACCAGCCCTTTCTTCCAAATCTTGAAGGTTTTCAATGATGAGTATTTTGGAAGTAGATAACCAGGCATTTCTTCTGCATCGTAAACCTGCAGCCTTTCGGACAGCAGCCGAGTGCAGGAGTCTCTGTGCGGGAGACCTGGTAAATGCATTTGTTTGGTGGATCGGGCTGGCTTGGTGGACAGTGAGACCATCTCTAGAACGAACTGAGCAATCAAAGGGAGCTTCTTGGTGAAATGGGTTCCTGGGGAGAATTACTACATAATCTATGGGCCAAATTGTTTTTATTGTTCTTTCAGTTTAAGGTGGCACATTCATCACCTCATTGTCTGTATGGTTCAGGATTTCCAGGCAAGGCTTAGCCGGGTCCTCAGTTTATGGTCTAACAGGATGAAATCAAGGTTTTGTCTGGTGGTGATCTTATCTAGATCTCAGAGTCCTCCAAGCTCACATAAGCATATAGAACATTGGCCGGATTAGGTTTCTCAGAGCTGTAGGATAGCGTCCCATTGGTAAGAAACTGTGCAGCAATCCCAAAGGCACAGGGTTCTAATCTACCAGCTGCTCTGTGGGAGAAGGATGGGCCTGCTCTTCCCATGCAGTTGACTGCCTCTGAAAACCAGCTGGAGCATCAGCTGTGGGTCACTTCCGACTTGACAGTGCATGACAGCTACAACTCCCAGCTACTAGAGGCCACCCACATCCCTTACCACTGGACCTTCCAGCTTCAAAGCCAGCAACAGGGACCCTCCTTCACATGGATGGACTCATGTGGGAGAAGGAGGGGCAATCCCCTAGCATGCAAATAACTGCCTCTGAAAACCCACCATGGGTAGGGTCCAACTCTGTGGTACACACATGGATGGAATCTCTCTCACGCTTTGCATCTCTCATCAAGAAGGGCTGATTAATTTTTGAGTAGAGGCGTCTGTTCTATTTCCGTGGCTCAGGGATAAAATTGGTTTATACACTCAGAGTTACAAGTGCAGCTGACACATGGGAACACTACAGAGAGATTTTAGAGGGAAGCTTGGTAAAGCTTCTTCTCACATACTTATGGCATGTCATTGGGAGAAGCCAGTCCTTGGAAAAAGACTTCATGCTCGGAAGGGTGGAGGGTCAGCAAAGGAGGGGAAGCCTCTCAACGAGATGGAGTGACATAACGATTATAACCAAGAACTCTAATGTGGCAGAGATGATGAGGATGGCACAAGGTAGGGCAGGCTTCAGATCCAGTGTTCATAGGGTCGCTATGAGCCTTAGTCGACTCGATGGCACTTAACAACAAAGACAGATTTTAATTTATACCATTGCTGAAAACCGGCCAAATCCCAGCTTCCTCCCAGCTGCTGTTATCACTAGTCTTCCAACTTATTCTACCCCTTGTCTTTGACTCGGTTCTGTGTCAGAAGAGAACTAAGCTCCATGGGTTTTACAATGGCTGGTTGTTTTCCTTTTTATTGTGATTTTAATGTTACCCTATGAAGCCAAAGGTGGGTGATTTTAATCTGCAGCCCTCAGGCCTGGTGTTGTTTTTGGTCAAACATTCTTCTAAGTTGTATAGCACCGGTCTGTCCATTTGCTGTACAGAGGTAACTCGTGGTTACTACGATGCTAAACCCTGTGACACTGATGTGTTAAATGCAATAATGGCTACCCTTGGTGAACAGTGTGTGGTGGAGCTCCCCGATTAAAACAAGCTTGGAAGCAGCTTCCAAAACAGTTTGCCTCCGGAAACTCTATGAACTTAGAGACATGATGAAAGTTATACAAGTGTTCAGGTCTTTTGTTCACAGGGTCACTAAGAATCATCTACAACTCTATAGCGCTTAACAACAACATTGTGATTTTAACAAAAATTTACAGAAAAGTAGGATTTTCATTAATTCATTCATTATTGCACATTTTCCTCCCTACCCCCACCCACTCAACTTTTAAAAAATAATAGTCATTCATTGTTGCATAATTTCTTCTCTCACCACCTTCCCCTAGTCCACTATGGCAAGTACCTCTTATTCTGGACTGTTGTTATACAAATAATGCCTAATCATATATTCCTTTTAAACAGTTCTTTCCTTCATCTGTTCCAATGCAGTGTTCATTATTTATCCTCTCTTTTCTAAATTTCCCCCCAACGAACATATAAGTCCTGTTTTATACCATTTGACCCAGCAATTCCCCTACTAGGAATATACCCTAAAGAAATCAGGGCTGCCACCCAAACAGATATATGCACACTCATGCTTATTTCTTCATTGTTTACAATATCAGAGAGATAGAAGCAATCTAAGTGCCCATCAACAAATGAATGAATAGAAAAACTATGGTATATTCACACAATGGAATACTATGCAGCACTGAAAATAGTGAACTCATAAAACAATACACAACATGGTTGACATTGAAGACATGCTAAGTGAAATATCTCAGTCACTAAAGGACAAATACTGTGTAACATTGGCTGATTTTTCAAGAGTAGATTGCCAGATCTTTCTTCCAGCTAGCTTTTAGGTGGACTTGAACCACCAACCTTTCAGTTAGGAGGCAAACTGCTTACCTGTTTACACCACCCAGAGACTGATCCAGTCTGTGGTTGTTGCTATATGCTGTTGAGTTGGCACTGACTCATACCTGAACCTTCAGTGGATTTTCAGAGGCTGTAAGTGACATGAAGAGAGATTGCCCGTTATTCTCCCATGGAACAGCTGGTGAATTTAAACCGTGTACCTTTGGGTTAGCAGTGAACCTCCTTATGCACTAGGCCACCAGAGCTCCATTCTAGTCCTCCTGAGAGCAAAGCAAGCACGCACTGTGCACCTTGCACCTCCTCTTCCCACCTGGCCCATCCTGTCCACCCCGCTGGCCTCACATGACCCTTTGTCAACTTGCCAGCTCAGCAGCAAAGACTGTCTCAAGAGAAACAGTGCAGCAAGAAGGGCTGACCTGAAGGGGAGAAGCTAAGCCATTCCCACCAGCATATAACTTACTTACGAGCTTTATTGCTAGTACTTTTGCTCGACAGAACTGCCCATACAAACAGCCTGCCAGACGGTCATTTTTTTAAAAGCTCTCTTTGGAAATCAGAGCAACGGAGAAAAGTGGGAGAGGGAACAAGTCAAGAGAAACTGCAGAGCAGGGTGAGAAGACGTCCACAGGCTGCATGTATGTGGGGAAGGCTCGCTAGCAGTTTCCAAAGACTGGCTGGTGTGGGCTAGCAGATGTGTTTTCTTTGGGTTACAGTGTGTTTTAAAAAATTGAAAAACATGCAAATTGATTTCCTGTTTCCCTTAAAAAAAAGGAGAGAAGGAGTATCCGATAGCAGTGATCCTGCATTCCCACATGGCAATAATTACTGGGCTTGAACAATGACCATCCTCTCTAGAATGGCTGGCATTGTTCCTTCCTTGCCTCCCTTCCCTGTCTCGTCCCTGACTCGCTGTGCTCATTCCTCTTGCTGCCTGGTTCCTTCAGACCTGTGGTTGTCACTTCAGCAGTGGCCCATGTCCTGGTACCCTGGCAGCATCCCTTGGACCCTTTGTGAGGGTCTCAGGCTCTGCAGCATGGGGTCAGGATGGATTCAGCCCTGGAGTGGGGCTTCTTTGTCACTCAGACACTGGACTCTTTTGTCTTAAGAGAGAAGGAGCTGAGAATGAGAAACTGCTGAAGAGCAAGCAGACAGAAGGTAGAGGAATGTGCAGTGTGAGTAAGCTCCAAGACGGATTTATTTCAGGGCGTTTGCAAGTAAGCCATTGCTCTAGCTAAGTGGGAGAAGAGAGAAAGAATGATGCTCCCACAAACTTGGAACCTTAGCAAGTGCTTCGCGTCCATGAGCCTCCATCTCCTCCTCTGTAAAGTGGGAAGCGGCTATTGAAGTGCACTTTTATAAGGATTTAAATGTTGAAAAACAGACTCCTTAGGGAGCTCTGGTGGCCTAGTGGCAAGAAGTTGCACTGCAATCCCAAAGGTGTGTGGTTTGAATCCACCAGATGCTCCACTGCAGAAGGAGGGGCAAACTCCTCCTGTGCTAGTTGGATCCAATTTGACAATGCATCAAATGAAAAAAAAAGAAAAACAGATGAACAGATTCCTTGCCATCAAATCAGAGCTGACTCCTACTTGATCCTCCAGCAGGTTTTCAGAGATTGTAAATCGCATGGGAGGAGATTGCCCGTCTTTCTCCCATGGAGCAGCTGGTGGTGGATTTGAACCAGGGGCCTTTAAATTAGCATAACTCCCTACAGACTGTGCCAACCAGAGCGTCCTTGTGTAAAACATCCCACAGATGGCAGATATCTAACAAAATATAAAGATTGAAGTGGAATAGGAAATAGAAAGGAAAGAATGGTCAGTATGATTATTATTCATCAGTATAGGCGGGTTGGGCACCTTCTGTATCCCTTGGGGCTGCTTGTAGGCTCATGGTCTGCTTCCTTGTCTCACAGCCATTGGAGCCAGCAGACCCGACTGGAGAGAACTGGATGATGAGCTCATGAAACAGGCGGTGCTGTATGTGGACTCCCGGGAGGCCGCCCTAAAGGAGTCGGGGGATGTTTTGTTGTCAGGGGTGAGTGTCTTCTCCTGGGGCTGGGGGGGTTGCTACCCTGGCCAGCCTCACATCGATCCTACAGTTTCATTCATTTCTTCTCCACTTTGGCCCGCCCCAGACCTTGATCCTCTCCAGTTCCTTTTTCATTTCCCTCTGTAGTCACATGACCCTTATTATGGTGGTTGACAGTATTTGCTTTCCTCTCCCCTTTGCCTGGGTGGGGCTGTCCCAGAGGGCAGGGGAGTTGGGATATGGGATCCTTTTGTAGGCTAGAAGCCTTCTTAGTGTGACCAGCACAGTGTCACCATGGTTGACCATCTGCTGACTTTCATTTTTTAAAATCAGAGCATAGAACCAAGAAAGGAACAGCTAAGATGAATGTTCAAGTAAGAACCTGCCAATTTCCTCCCACAGTGACTTGTTGGGAAATTTCTGTAAACACAAACTTGGATCTCTGTATTCATAATCTTAAAAAGGCAGCTGTGACCCCAAACAGGACTTCAGGAAGAAGCATTCTCCCTGATTTAATCTGGTTCAAAATGGAGGGTATTTAAAACAAAACAAAACAAAAAGCAATGTTCTTCCTTATCCGGTTCAAGGACAACCTGGCTGGCTTCAGAAGCTGGTCCCCAGCAGACTTCACTGTCATGGTCTAGGTCAAGGTCAGTGTGTGTGTTTGTTTCACAGGCAGAGATCTTTGCTGAGCTGGGAGAAGTGGTGAAGGGCGTGAAGCCAGCCCAGTGTGAGAAGACCACGGTGTTCAAGTCTTTGGGTAAGAACCACTACTCCCTCGTCCAAAATGTAGCCAGCACTGAGAAGAGGAATGAATCACCAGGCTCTTTCCATGAATCATTGTGAAGCTGGCTGCTGGGGCAATTATTTACATATTTAAGGTCGTAACTCAGCTGGTGAACTCTGTAACTGGCCAGTCCTGGGTTGGATTCCCTTCTCACAGCACAAGTGTCATTTAGCAAATGACCTACCCTCTCTGAGTCATGGTTTCTTCATGAAACTTTGCTTGGGTTGCCATGAGCATTGAGATGTTCATATAAAATATTTGCATATAGCAAATGTCAGCAGTCAATTATTTTTACTTCTTGTTGTTGTTGTTGTGTACCATTGAGTTGGAACTGACCCATAGCTGACCCTCCAGCAGGTTTTTAGAGGCAGTAAATTACACTGGAGGAGACTTCTCACCTTTCTCCTGTGGAGCAGCTGGTGAATTCGAACCTCATACTTTCGCATCATTTCCTTACCATTAAGCCACCAGAGCTCCCTAGGTGACTTAGGTCTGCCTATCTTGACGTAGGTCTGAATGAAACTACGTAGAAGATAAGAGGGGGGATGGAATAAAATGATAGAAGACAAGGAGCTGTAGAGAAATGGGCCTTTTGCAGGAGATAAAAAAATTCTCCAAAGTTATGGTACATTCATACAATGGAATACTACTACACAGCACACAGGAACAGTGATTTTATGAGTTACTACCTAACTTGGGAGAGACTGGAGAGCATTATGCTGAGTGAACTAACTCAGTACCACAAGGACAAATACTGTATATATCATTTTTGTAGAATGGATATGAGGATTTGGGGGAGAGGTGGAAGCAGAGGGGTGAGAATGCGGGTATATTAATCGTAGGGTTGCACAATTCGATGAGTGGGGGTGTGTGAAGGAAATGGGAAGGACCTTTTGTGAAAAACAATATATTCAAACTTTGTAAATAAATCAGTATAAAATTGTAAGAAATTCTCTAAAGCAGAGATCTCTATTCTCTACAGGATTACAGAATGAATATTTTGAGCTTTGGAGACTAAGAGAAAATATATCTTGATGGCTCTTTGTTGCCTCTTTCTCATCTATTGATTTGAAGAGGACAGGAATTTGAGGAAGTCAGGATAGGGCAGAGTTTCAATCTATCATAAGGTCGCTATGAGTCGTACTTGACATGATGGTATCTAGCAGTGACAACATCTGTGGAAAAGCCACATAACCATCTGAGTTGTTTATTATACGCATATGCCCCACAAAGGATGGACTTCCGCTTGGCAGTCTGCCCTTGACAGCCTGGACAGCATCTTAGGAAGATACCAGTTAACGGGCTTGGGTTATTTCAGGAATACCTACTCCTAACAAAAGAGTGAACCAAATTTCTGTTCCGTACAGGCATGGCAGTGGAGGACACAGTTGCAGCCAAACTCGTTTATGAATCCTGGTCATCTGGTAAATAAAGCAAAGAAAGCATGTGTTGAGATGGATGCTGGCGTTTAAGGGGTAATGTCACTGGTCACCTCATCATTTCTCAATCAATCCAGGGAGCATGGCACCCAGTGAGCTCTTCTTCTGTGTTTTTCACGCCTTATGTTGAGTTTTGAGACCCTCATTTATGTTTGTAGTTGGGAAGCAAAATTAGGTGCCGAGTTCCTCTGTTATGCCAGGTTGTAGGGAGTTCCTTTTGCTTGTGTTTCACTACCTTTTGTGTTTCCCTGAAATAAAGCATTTTTCAATTCTGATGTATTTGCTATAATAATTTCTACTCTTCAAGGCAAGAAAAGTGATGAAGATTGAATATGACCATCCACTCTTTTTCCTTTATAAATAGAATTGAACTTTTAGGGCAGTTTTGGGTTTACACAAAAATAACATCCATACAGTTCTCTCATCTGCACACTTCTTTTCTTTGTTATTATTATTGCCATTCACGATTAATTTTTTTTTAAATTGCAACAATAGTTTGTACACTGTAACACACTTTTCACCACAACAAGATAAAGGTAAACAACCCAATTGAATTATGGGCACAGGATATGAACAGACACTTCACCAAATAAAACATGCAGATAGCACACAAACACATGAAGAAGTGCTCAAAATTCCTAGCTCTAAGAGAGATGCAAATCAAAACAACTATGAGATATCATCTCACCACAGTAAGATTAGCAAAATTTAACAGAACAGCAAGCAACAAATGCTGGTGAGGTTGTCAACAAACTGGAACCCTTATTCACTGTTGGTGGGAGTGTAAAATGGTGCAACCACTATGGAAGGCAGTATAGGCAGTATGGCGTTTAGTGAAAAAGTTGGAAATAGAAATACCATTTGACCCAGCAATTCCACTACTGGGAATATACCCCAAAGAGATCATAACCGGCACCCAAGCAGATATATGCACACCCATGTTTATTGTGGCTTTGTTCACAATAGCAAAGAATTGGAAACAACCTAAGTGCTCATCAACAAACAAATGGATAGAGAAGCTGTAATATATTCACACAATGGAATACTATGCTGCATTGAAAAACAAGGAACTCATGAAATATAAAATGGGTGACCCTGGAAGAGATTATGCTGAGTGAAATATCTCAGTCACAAAAGGACAAATACTGCATAATGTCACCGTTGTAAAATAGGACTGACATCAAGGTTGAGGGGAGACTGAGAAAAGTTATGTATACTGCATTGAAACAAAAGAGGGAGAGAACTGTTTAAAAGGCATATGTGATTAGGTATTATTGTCATGACAGGAGTCCAGAATGAAGGCTGCATAGTGGAGTGGACTTAGGGGGAGGGATTGTATAACAATCAAAGAATTTTTCTGTTACTTTTCAAGGAGAAGAGTAAACTTGGAGGGAGGGGTGCACAGGGAGAAAAGTGCAACAATGAATGAATGGAAATCCTAAGTCTCTGTAAACTTTCATTAAAATTAATAATAATTTTTAAAAACCTAAAAATCTTGTGACTTTTAATTTGTTTTGTTTTTTAATTTGTTTGATTCTTATGAGAGTCAGAACTCAGGAAGACTGTCTTGTTTTTCCAAGCCCCTAAAGTTTTCTGTCCCTAATGCTGTCCTACCAGTTTTCTGTCCCTCATTTGTAGCAAATATTTGCTTTTCCCTTCTCTTGCCCAGGATTCTGCTTACAGTTTCTGGCTCCCACAGGTTTTACTGTAGTACACAAGACTGGACAATGCTCACCATGGTCTCATTTCAGAATTTTTTAAAATTGTGAATTTAATGAAAATTTACAGAGGAAGTTGGATTTTCATTCATTCATTTATTCATTGTTGCACATTTTCCTCCCTACCTGCCTCTCAGTTCACTTTAAAAAAAAATCATTCCTTGTGACTGTTGAGGGCTAAGAGAGAGGGCAATGGTGAGCATACAAAGAAGCAATGGCTTCCTTTATGGGGTGATGAAAATATTCTAGGATTATCACCTCAAAAGGAAGCCAGTGTCTGTTCATATGCTCACCATTCCCCTCTCTGTTAGCCCTTAGCAGTCACAATGAATGAATATTTTCTTTCCATAGATGGTGAAGAGCTTGAGATTGTTCACAGCTTTAGTTTGCTTGGCTCCACAATCAACACTCTTGGCACCAGAGCCAGGAAATTAAAAGACATATTGTGATGGGAAAGTCTGCTGTTAGGGACTTCTGTAAAGTACTGAAGAGCAATGATGTCAGTCTGGAGACTAAGGTGCGCTTGATACATGCCATGGTCTTTGCAGTCACTTGCTATGCATCAGTGACTATTCATCAATGACTAGGGATGAAAGAAGAATTGATGCCTTTGAGCTGTGGTGCTGGAAAAGAGTATTGAATATACCATGGACTGCTAAGAAAAGAAATAGGTTTATCCTGGAGAGGGTTAAACCGGGCTGCTCCTTGGAGGCAAGGATTCTGAAGCTTTGCCTGACATACTTTGGACATGTTGCAAGGAGGGACCAGTCCTTGGAGAGGGACATCATGCTTGGGAGGGTGGAGGGACAGCGCAGGAGAGGAAGACCTTCAATGAGATGGGATAGATGTGTCAGAGACAATAAGATTAGCAAAGGATAGAGCAGGGTTTAGTGCTGTTGTACTTAGGGTCACTATGAGTCTCAGGTGACTTGGTAGCACATGACAACACAACAACATGGATGTGCCCATTTGTAGACACTTCACAACAGATAATGTACATATACAATATGTGGCCTTTTGTCTCTTACCTCTTAAAATTTAAAGGACAATAGAGTTTCTCTACTGGTCAAGATTTCTTTGGTCTCAAGTGCTAAGAACTATAGCCCAAACTACCTTAAGGAAGATGAATGGATAGGGAATGGGATTTTATTGGCCCTTGGACAGCAGCCTTCCAGGCCTCAAATGTCAGCAGCACTCAGTCCTGTTATCTCCACACACAGGGTCTGTTCTTTTCAGGGTTAACTTTCTCTCTTATCAAGCAGGTTCTTCTTTAGTGGTGGCAAATTGGCTGATAAATGTCCCCAAATAATAGTCTACCTGCCTCTTTTTTTGCAACTCTGGTAGAAATACTCTTTTCCCCAACAGACTCAAAATAGACTCTCTGCACCACCTACGTCATGTGCCCATTCCTAACCTTAACATCCTGCCTACGGTGAATGGAGAATTATCGAGGCTAGGACAAGGTGCCCGCTCCTGAACTATCATGCCATCCAGGGGTCATGGACTCCCTGGTTCCTAGCGTACTCTTCCCTTCTCCCCCTTGAAGCCAAGAGTAGAATCATCTGACTGCATGAACTGATGGAAGGAAAAGGGTCTCTTACTAAAAAGAGGACTAAGTATCGGGTAGGCAATGTCTACAGAAGTCCACTGCGGTTGGTGAGATCACATCCTTCAGCACAGTGACCACAACAATGGGCTTGAACAAGGTGGAGATGGTCATGATGGTGCAGGATAAAACGGCGTGCTCATCTGTTTTTCATCGGGTCAGTATGAGTAGTAGTCCGCTTCATGGCACTTAACAACTACTGCAGTATCTGAGATGAAAAGGCCACTTCTTGTTGTTGTTGTCAGATGCCGTCGAGTCGAGCATGACTCATAACAACCGTAAGAACAAAAGATCTGACCCTAGTTCTGTCCTGTGACATTCTCACACTTCCTGACACACAAGAGCCCATTTCAGCAGTCACCGTGTCAGTCCACCTGGTTGAGGGTCTTCTTCTCCCTGGCTGACCCTTCACCCTTCCTGGCATCATGTCCTTCTCCAAGGAACAGCACCAACAGCATCTCGTAGCAACATGCCCAAAGTATGTGAGGCAAAGCCTCATCATTCTTGCCTCCCAAGAACACTCTGGCTGCATCACCTCCAAGACATATCTGTTTGTTCTCTTGGCAGTCCATGGGATGTTCACTAGGGGTGTCTATTCTAATCTTAACTTAAAAATGGGGAAGCAGGTATAACAAGGCTTTCCCCAGTATTCTAAATCACAGTTGGGATTGCCCTTGTCCACAAAGACCCTACCAAATCTAGACCCTCACCTCTACCCCCACTCAGACTGGTTATCAGCATGATATTTTGCTTTGTTTTGCTACTCACAACTGTCAGGTCCTTTAGAGAAGGATGTGGGACAGTGATTCTATTAGAAGTGCCTTCATTCATTCAATCATATATTTCTTCCCTTTTAACCAAGAGTAGAGGGCTGGTAGCCCAGTGGGTAAAGAGTGGATAAAGAGTTGTGCTGGCAATCTGAAAGCAGGCAGTTCAAATCCACCAGCTGATCTTAGGAAGATAGATGAGCAGTCTCCTCCTGGGTGATGTACAGCCGCTGAGAACCCACTGGAGGTTCAGCTGTGGGTATGACTTTGACATTGTTTTACTTAGAAAGGAAATGGGAAGTGAGGAAATGATAACGAAGCACACCAAGATGAGCAAAAGAAGGAAGCTGCTAACTCTTCTAAGCTTGGAAGGGGCAAGAAGAGGGAGCAGTCGATGGGACCCAACAAAACCTAGAGCTGTAGCAGAGAGCTGCCTCCCAGGAGCCGTGGGTTAGATGAAGGAAAACAGCCGTTGTCTGCCATCCAGCAAGGACGCAAAGAGAGACATGGTGGCCTCAAATATAAGTGTAGTACCCGATTACTGCACCTTGGCTTCTCAAAGGTAAGTCTCCAGTCTCTTCTCCCACATGAATCTCCTGCTGATTCCTGCAGCTGACCAAACCCCACCTGAAGCCTAAAGGCAAAGGAGCCCTATGAGTATACCCAGAGGTGCGGCAGCTGTGACTTTACTGTGAGAAATTAGGGGAGCTCTGGTGGCTTAGTGGTAAGTAGTTGCACTGCCAACCCAAAGGCAAGTAGTTCAAATCCACCAGCTCCTCCATGGTAGAAATATGGACAATCTCTTCCCATGTAATTTAAAGCCCATTTACAATTTGTTGGAGGTGTGTAGGATATGAGTCGGTTCTGACTCCACCATACAAACAAAAATGAGGCATTTGAGA